ACGTGCAGCTTCCCCCGCCCCCCACATACACACGCAGATATGCGTTGGGTGCGCCTACGTGCGAAAACGATTGTGCCGCACATGTTACATATCGCCGCACATGTTGGAGTGAGCAATAATTTTAGAGCCATTAATTACAGATCACACTAAACTGATGAGCGGTAAAAGCGTCTATGGGCAATTTTCAGTGTGGTCGATTTTTATGGGCGCACGCAATTTTAAGGCTTGACATGTTTGGTGTTTATTTACCCAATATATATAATATTATATTATAATATATGTATATATAAAACAATGTTTTTCATGCCAACTCTGTCCTTTTTGTGCATTTCTTTCTTTTTGAAAGTCATTGGCACAGGGAAAGATATTTCAATGTTTCTTGTTTGGCTGATATAGGTGTCTGCCAATAAACCTAATTTCCTGGCAGAAGATACGCTAATGCAGTACTATGGGTGGCAAAGAAGGCGTGTTCTTGTGGTCTGTTGTGGACTACCAAGTGCTGTCTAAACATAAGTTGGGTTGTAAGGGGGCAGTTAGGATGCTGGTCAAGTAGGGCTTTTGATATTCTGGAAGGAAACATTCATATGCAAATATACATGCCAATTATGAGGTCAGCAGGTACCTTTTTATTATCACTTTAATATTTCTTATGTGCCTGGAGTTCAGCTTTAAAGGTTGAACTTGGAACTAATATGACCAGCATTTTCTAAAAATAACTCAAGAGCAGCTTGCTAACTATAACATGCCTTCCTTATGCCACAAGGTAGGATGACCAAAATTATTTAGAAATATTGGCCCATAGTGTGCTAAGATCCATTGTTACAAAAAATGTTACCCTCTAAAACCCAAGATTTTGTTGCACATAGAGACACCAAGGATAAACATCCAGCAGTTTCGGTCCGATGTCACGGGTAAGGAATTTGAAACTGGAGAATTCCTTACATGTAACACTAAAAATGAAGTGTACTTTTTATTGAGTGCGATTGTGGCCTACAGTATGTGAGCCAAACGAAATGCACTGTGGCTGAAAGAGTAGAGCACATTTGTAATATTAGAAGGGCAAGAGGAACCACATATTCCAGAGCACTTATCACCATAACCCTGATCTGAGGCAACTTAAATTTGTAGCAATCCTAATTGTGTGCTGTTAACGTTACTCCCATCCCTCATCCCCTCCCCCACCCAATTATTATTATACAGGATTTATTTTCTTGCCAACAGTTTGCACAGTAATTTATGTAATAAAGGAAGACAATATAGTTACAGTACAATTAAAGACAAGAGGATTAGGAGGAACCTGCTAATGTATTTTCATTTTTTTTCTGTTTAATGATAAAAACTATGGTCTGCTTAGACCAGAGCCTACACAGCACTCTACAATCACACAACACGAATAGTGAAAATAGTCAATATCCAAATTATTGCTTTTTTTTCTGTGACATTCTTAACTAATGACATTTGTGCAAACGACCTACAATCAGTATTTTACTTGTATGTATCCTTGTAGATAATTCTCATGAGCAATTGGATAGTTGCATTACTATGTGTAATGTTTTTTTTAGTATACCTTGTTGTATATTCAATGTGTGCTATTAAAATAAAGAAAAAGAATGAAGGATATGAGACCTGCACATGAAGCCAGTATTAGACATCTATGTGCATAATCCTTGCTTTCCACAACAACAAATACAGCAGCAAATGATCAACACCTCAGTTCATAAATGGCTTATCTTAACCACATCATTACGATGCCATTTTTTCATTTTCAGTGCTATGATAGTTTGACCAACAATTATTCCTTCATGCAGCACTGCACCCAAATGGATCTTATGTCATTTTTTTGAGGTAGATAGAGCTTTCTTTTGGTGATATTTATTAAGTGCTGGGATTTTTAGTTTTTAACTATAGAAAGAAAAAACTCCCTACTGCTTCCCTTTCTGTTAAAAAAAAAAAATATGCCAGGACACGAACACCATCGAAATGACACCTTTTTGGAAAGGTAGACACCCCAAGGTGATCTCCTCCTCCTTTTTTTTGCTGCATTTTTTGCAAATGAAAAAATTGGTATTGATTGGGGTTAAAACACAGAGCTTGGTAATGTTGAACTAGATACAGCACATGAGGTCATACACCGAGGGATCAGGAGGTGAAGGAATTAATGTACAGTTCACAATACAAAGGCAGGAGATCAGCAGTTTAGGAGTGATTAGTCATTGCAGCAGTCACTTATTACCAAGCGGCTTGGATTGGCTCTGTACAGTGTCTTTGTGTGCTGAGCTGTCTGGGGACTTCTTTGTACACGGACAAGCGGGCGCAGCAGTACCCAATGGCTATTTTTAGAACGGTGTCTATAGACGTTGTTCCAGAAATGGACATCTACCTCCATGACGTTTTTTTTTACAATGCCTCAGTAGGGAGGCGGTTAAACCATGACACAGTGACAAATCATTGTAGATGCATGTTTTGACCATGCAAGGTCTTGAACTCAGCACGGTCACAAAGCAGTCATATTATGGCTGTAACAAAAAAACTTGTTCAGTGTTCATAAGCCCTTGAGGACTGTAGTGGTGTACAATGGTCTCTGATTCATTTTTGTATCCACTTGAAATGAATACACAGACTAAGTAAACAAGCAAACACATCTTTTGGCAATTTCTTCTTATTACACTAATAGAATGTTATTTTAAAATTTATTTCAAAAGCAGTTTCCGAACCAGCAAGCCATGTGCCTCTAGTGGTATTTCCATCTGTTAATCTCTGAAAAAGTTGTATTAAGTTTTAGTAATAGGAAATCTTACACCAAATGGTAAAAACAAAAAACTGTTCTCTGGTTTAGTGTATGATAGGTCTGTCTTTGGAATGTGTATTAAACACCAGTAAAATAATAATTGTACATTTCTTTCTCTTATGTTTTCTGTGTTGAAAAATATCTATTTACCATCTTCAATTCTAAAATGTTTTATACCTATAATGTTTTTCAGCCGATTCTAGAATCTGGAGCTGTAGAGCTACTATGTAGTTTGACTTTAAGTGAGAATGCCGCCCTGCGTGTCAATGGTATCTGGGCTTTAATGGTAAGCATTCTTCTGCTAATTTGATTATCTGGTAATTGATAACATCTAATGAAAACTGTTTTTTTTTTCATTTTTACAGAACATGGCATTTCAAGCTGACCAGAAGATAAAATCAGACATTTTAAGAGGTTTAAGCACAGAGCAGTTGTTTCGGCTACTGTCTGATTCTGATGTGAATGTATTGATGAAAACACTGGGACTTCTCAGAAACTTGTTGTCTACAAGGCCAGTAAGTAATTTATGAGTAACCACTGATTCCCAGCAAAAATTATACTATGAAAATTTTACCGTATGCATTTTTAATATTTTCATGGTGTCAATGGTGATCAGGACAAATGGGGTGGATCTTTCCAGCAGTGACACTGGCAGCAATAAAATGCGATTGTTTGTGCGGGGAGGAAAACAGCGAAAGGGAAATGTAGAAAGACCAGATTTGTTTTTATTCAGACATAAATAGCCAGTGCATTTCATTGCTGTAACCCTTCCACTGCTACTAAAATAAGGCTTACATCAGCGACAGAATGGACTTGTATATGGACTGCTGTTGCTGCCAGGACTGTGTTCAGCTCACACAAGCCGACTGTTGACTTTGTGTTGGAAATTATTCGGACAGTTGAGCACTTCCATGGGCTTCAAAATCTGCGCCCGACCCCCCGACGTATCCCTGGGCTCTGCTGCCACTCCTGCCATGGCAGGTGACGAAGGCGAGATGGGAGGGAGACCAGCAAGCATCCATTTGCTGATCTCTCATGTGAATATGCCCAGCAGAGATGATGAATTGGTCATTTTCAGGCTCAGCGCTGTCATTTGCCAGCCAAAGAGTCCCGGGAAGAAGCTGATCAAGCACAATCTGTTGTGAATTTCTTGCTGACTCCTACAAGTTATTGTTAAGGCTTATGCAATTATAGGACAATCTCCACTTTTTCCGGTTACAGCTCATTCTACTCGTGCAGTTAGCATGTCATGGGCTTTTCAATATCAAGTGCCTGTTTCTCAAGTCTGTATGGTGTCTACCTGGTCGCCGTTACACACTTTTACTCGTTTCGTTAAAGTTGTTGATGTTGTATCTACGGATGTTTTCATTGGTCGCAAAGTTTGTGTGAGCTTTGGGGTTGTGTTGTTTAATATTTATTGTTCCTGGCCCTCGGTGGACACTGAGATGTCCCATCGTAACATTGTTTTTTGTAATTTTTTTCTTTCTGCTTTTGGCATCGCACACCCAATCCCAACTTAAGCAAAGAGCCGAACCTTGTCCAGCACTTCTCAGAGAGCCTCTCAAGGCAAATTATTCCTTCTACACTGCTTAAGACCTGCCTGAGAACACCTATTGTTTTAAGTGATCTAGTGCCCCATACCTTTTGTCTACTTACAACAACAAAAAATGTGACACAGGGTTACCACTTGCACACTCTTTCAAAAGTTTTGGCTTTGGATACATACTTATTGAATTATTGAGGTGACAAACAGTGCCACAAACGTACAGTATAATGGTCTAGCCAGATGAGTATTTTTTTAGAAGATGTTTTTCTACTTGTTTTGAATAGAAGAGGGCTTAAGAAACATGCATACCTGTGTGAATTGCTTTCATTGCTGATCTCATGCTGAGCTTTTCGTCAGGCAAGGCTGCCTTATCTGACAGTGCTACTGACATTTTTCCATTAGCTTGAATAAAGTATCCCATGGAGGAAATGCAGCTACTCATGAGAACTAGAAGATTAACTTTGGCAGAAAATATTCTGATTTATTTGTAACGTTATCATAACAGATCTGGTGATTCAAGTCCATTTTCTAAAGCTAGCACAAGCCAACAGTCTGCTGCATATAAGATGCTTTGCAACCAAAAGCTTTACCCTATCGAAAGTGTCTAAATTGTACTAGGCAGTCAGATGTCTTTTTTTTCAAGATCAATCCTTTTGATACACAAGAATAAAAGTGGCATGTGTCCTCATCTGTAAATAGTGTTTATGACTAGCGAGTCCAGTCTCCTTGGCTATCAAGATCAGTAAATCTGTAGATATTGAGCTAATTTAGGAGGTAGTTCCCTATCATATTGCGGTAACCGTTCTATTCTACATTAAGAAACTGGTTAATTCAGACAGAATAACTAAAGGTCACATTTTCTGCATGTGATGTTACATAAGCACTGCTCTTTCATAGTGTCTTAATGATCGAATTCTAGAGCATAGAGGTCTATGAAATCCATTGGTACAAATCAACACATCTTTGATTATATTAACTGCTAGTTAGTATAGAATCAATTGTAAGTATAGTTACCTGACTATATAATTTAACTATTTTCCAAGTGTTTTGTGCATTATGTGTGTTCTAATTATCCTGAAATGCATTATTTATTTCACCTAGTGCAACCAGTGTTTCCTGCCTACAGGCTGTTGCATTGGTAACATTATTCCTCTCTTCTTTGTCCTCTATGTGCACTTTAAGCACATAGACCAGATAATGAGCACACATGGGAAGCAGATCATGCAAGCAGTGACCTTTATCCTTGAAGGGGAACATAACATAGAGGTCAAGGAACAGGTATGATATCACTGGTTCAGTGCCGGCATCACCTGTACTATACTAGACCGATCTTTAATAAGCATGAAACATGGTACTCTGGAATGAGTGATGAGGTGCTTCATCTTCCTGGCAGGGGTTAACAACAATTTAGCAGTACTGTAGATGATGAATATTTTAGTAGCACAAGCAAGATATGCACAACACACTTTCTTATTATTGATGTTCTGTAAGACTGAGTCCTTCACAATTTAATGTATAACATCAGCTTCTCTTTTCCCCCAGTATGCTCTAATTTCACTTTCCTAGCACATGTTCATGTACATTATCCTAATAATCTCATTGGAATATAGGGATTTTAACCCCACTAATAGCTCCGTACGTGCAGACTTTTTGATATACTTTCTACTATCATTAGCTGTAAAATTATTGAACCTCAAACATGCAAAATTGACATTGTCTAAAATTGTGCAGCTAGTATTCCCGGTTCGTGTGTCGTCTTTTTGTACAACCCCAATTTAAAAAAAGTTGGGATGCTGTGTAAAATCTAGATAAAAACAGAAGGCAATGATTTGCAAATCTCATAAACCCGTATTTTATTCACAGTAGAAAATAGAAAACATATCAAATGTTCAAACTGAGAAAATGTACCATTTTAGAAAAAATATCAGGTAATTTTGAAATTGGCAGCAACACGTTTAAAAAACATTGGGGCAGGGCAACAAAAAGCTGGCAAAGTAAGTGGTACTAACAAGGAAGAGCGAAAATAATATTTTGCAAGTAATACGGTTAATTAGCAACAGGTAAGTAACATGATTGGGTATAAAAAGAGCATCTCAGAGCATCACAGACGGGAATTTATCAAAATTGAAGCAGGCAAAATCTGGAGCAGCTGTGCATGACAACCAGTCAGCTTCTCTTTTTCATTTTCAAATCTTAACTGAACAAACTGAAGAGAGAAGCTGATTGGTTACCATAGGCAACTGCTCCAATTTTGATAAATTCGCCCCATAGTGCCTCATAAGTAAAGATGGGCAGAGGTTCACCAATCTGTGAAAAGCTGCATCTAAAAATTGTAAAACAATTTCAGAATAATGTTCCTCAACCTAACATTGCAGACGTTAAATGTATCATCATCTACAGTACATAATATGAAAGGATTCGGAGAATCTGGAGAAATTTTGTGCGCAAGGGACAAGACTGAAACACAATATTGGATGCCCGTGATCTTCAGGCCCGTAGACGGTGCTGCATTAAAAACAGGCATGATTCTGTGATGGACATCACTGCATGGGCTCAGAAATGCTTCCAAAAATCACTGTATGTGAACAGATGGGCTTCAACTTGAATCCAGAAATGCAAGTTAACCCTTTCGCTGCCAAGCCCTCCGGAACATTTTTCAAATCAGCTGGCCAAGCCATTTTTGAATTTTCTGCAATTTTTTCCTAAACGCCGTCTTCTCTGTGCCAAAGCTCATTTAAAATGGTCTGTTGCAAAGTGAAAAACAGTTCTGTGGTCAGACTAATCGAAATTCGACATTCTTTTTGGCAACCATGGGCTCCGCGTGCTCCGACCTATAGAGAAGGACCTTCTGGCTGGTTATCAGGTCTCAGTTCAAAAGTCTCAATTTCTAATTATATGGGGTTGCATTATTGCTTAAGGCCGTGACACACTGCACGCGAAGCCGTGCAGAGCGAAGCAAAGCTATCCGGCACGGAGCTTCGCGTGCAGTGTGTGAGCTGAGTGCAGTCAGATGATTGACTGCACCTTCAGCCAATCGGCTCGTCTGTAACAACCGGCCAGACGTCGCATCCCGTCGGTTTATACGCGCGAGCCGATTGGCTGAAGTTGAAATTGTTCATCTCGGCACGCTCAGCTCTCGCAAGCTGAGGTGCCAAGAAGAAAGTGACATGACACACTGCTCGCAAAGGCAGCGCGCCACCGCTCCGCGCTGCTTCGCGTGCAGTGTGTCACGGCCTTATGGAATGGGCAGCTTGGAAAGGCACCGTCAATGCTGGAAGATATATCCAGGTTTTAGAGCAGCATATACTCCCATCCAGATTACATTTTTTTTAGGGAAGGCCTTGCATATTTCAGCAGGAAAATGTTAAACCGCATACTGCATTTATGACAACAGCATGGCTTCGTAGTAGAAAAGTCCATATGATTGCAACAAAGATCTGCGCTTATGGAAAGTGGACTATCAGTAGTAATCCTGAAGCTGCTATGAGAAGTGGTAAAGGTGAAGTGTGGGTGTTGTCACAGCGCTAAAGGTTTAAATAAATGGAAAATAAATATATAAAACACCACACAGAAAAGTCCATATGCTTAACTGGCCCGCCTGCAGTCCCGACCTTTCACTACTTGAAAATATTTGGGGCATCTTGAAACTAATAATACGGCAAACAAGACTCAGGATTGTTGAGCAGTTAGAATCCTATATCAGGCAAGAATGGGACAACATTCCTCTCCCAAAACTCAAGCAACTGGTCTCCTCAGTTCCCAGACATTTACAAAGTGTTATTAAAAGAAGAGGGGATGCTACACCGTGGAAAAAATGGCCCTGTCCCAACTTTTTTGAGACTTGTTGCTGCCATCAATGTTAACCACTTGCTGACCGGGGTGTTTATACCCCCTTCCTGTCCTGGCCATTTTTCAGTATTCAGCGCTGCGGTACTTTGACTGACATTTATTCCGTCATGTAACGCTGTACTGAAATTAATTTTATACCATTTTTGGGGGACACATAGAGCTTTCTTTTGGTGGTATTTAATCACTACTGGGGGGTTTTTTTTTTTTTAACAATATAATGAAAAAAGTACCGAAACCTTTGAAAAAAAAAAACCTGTTCTCCCTACGTTATGTTATAAAACATTTATTATTACCCAATTTTTTGGTAAAATATAAAAGACGGGGTCACGTCGGGAAAATAGACATCAAACATGTCAAGCTTTAAAATTGTGCGCACCGCACCCGTTAAATCACAAAAAACTATCATACTCAAAATTGACCATAGCCGGCGCTTTAAAAGCTTTTACCGCTCATCAGTTTAGTGTCATCAGTGATTGATGACCCTAGAATTATTGCTCTCACTCCGACATTCGCGGCGATATGTAACATGTGCGGCGCAATGGATATAATCAGTGTTTTTGCACATAGGCGGGCTTGACGCATGTTTGCGTGGGAGCGGGGGACTTTATTTTTTATTTTTTTATTGCTTTGATGTGTGATTTTCAATTTTTTTTGTGACTTACATTTTTTTAAACCTTTTTTTTTCACTGAACTTTATTGCTATCACATAGGGAGCAAACAAGCTCCCTATGTGATAGCCGATTTGCAGTGACCCCTAATGTCACCTTGGGACCCCCAGAGAAGCCGAGACCTGCTTCACCAGCTTCTCTCCGGTTTCTGTACCGGAGAGTGACACTGAATGCAGGCAGCGATGTAATACACATCACTGCCTGCATTCAGAAGAGGAGCTCAACCGGCGCTTGGGTACTGAGCTCCGTTTGATCTCTGGCCGCAGAGCTGCTGTGCTGGTCCCGGGAACAGCGGAGCCCGGGATCGCCAGCAGCGGCAGCGACTGAGGGTGGGGGGCGCACACCCGACCGCATATTACAAGCGATCGGGCGTCTCCACAGACACCCGAACGCTTGTATGTAAACAGCCATCGCTGGCTGTTTACATTCAAAGCCGGTTTCCCGCTCGTGTCCTCCGCCTAGCGTCTAAAGACCCCCACCCGCTCTCAAGAAGCTGCTGTCCGGCCGTTTAATTACAACAGCCGGACAGCAGGTGGTTAAAATTGCCTTATTTTTTCCTTATTTGTGGCTGCTCACGCTGACCCCTGCGTCCCACTTTGTTCTGTAATGGTGTAGGGGTCAGCAGGAGGAACCATAGTGCCAGTTTCATCTTGGTGACAAAATAACTTAATCTTTGATGTGACATTAAAATTGTTCCTTTAGCATGTACTTTTAATACGTTTAGAGAATAGTTGATTAGCCACTAGAGAGTATAAATGACCTACTGTACAATTGCTCAGTCGTCTTAACACCTGTTGAAACAAGATATCCGTGTCACTGGAGTGTATTGTTTTCAGTAAGTTGGCTGAAAAAAAATGAATTGCAGTCAATGAAAGGTCTGTATCACTGAAATTACAATCGATTTGTAGCTCAACATCTGAGCAATTTACTTTCTGCAGCATTTGGAGCTAGTGAGAGAATGATCAACTTCAGTAGCTATTTATGTTATCCAATGCAGCTGCTTATGATGATCATGACACGCCAAAAATTTGTAGATGCATAAAAAAGCACTGTAGCCAGTTACAACAGCAACTCTGTAGCTGGATATAAATCCGGAAAATATGCAGAGAAATTTGTAGCTTCTACAAATTGCTGGTACAAAGTTGCTAGTGTTACATGGACCCTAACATATACAGTATATTTATACCGTATATACTCGAGTATAAGCCGTCCCGAATATAAGCCGAGGTACCTAATTTTAGCAAAAAAAACTTGGAAAAAGATAAAATGCCATCTCATGCATTACTTCTGCGATACAAACAAGAGGGAATAAGTAATACAGTTAAAATGTTAGAGCCCTGCTCTTACAAGCTTACAGTCTGAAAATCTAGAAGGCATATCATAAAGCCTGGGAAAAATAGCAGAAGCTGTTTATGGAACAGTCCTCTCAGTTCAAATAGAATATATGAATGTGATCAGCCTAATATACCTATTTATATTAATATGTATTTCCTTTGCTATTTCCTTAAAAGAAAATCTGTAGTGGTCTTAGACTTTCTAAACTAACTGCATCAGGATCCACCTCCCCAATTTCCTACATTTATTGTCCAGTAAGGCCACCTATCAAAGTAATGAAACATTAGTGAATTAAAATTAGGGGCAGGTGTAAATTGACACTACTTCCTTAAGTCTCTGGTCAAGTTCTAGGTGTCTGCACTTAAAGTAGAACTAAAGGCTCATGTGCTTTGACGAGTCAAAGCCTCATGTAAAAAAAAAAAAAAAGCACAAAAGTAGATAGTAGATTATTAAGCAAGTGGCTTTTTCTATAAAAAAAAGTACTTTTGATTGACTTTTGGGTGCGGTGCTATGCGTGGGGCCACAGCTCAGTTCCACAGCTTCCAGATGCACACTCATGCACAGCACTGCTCAGGCTACCTGTCCCATGATTCAGTTTGCATTTGCACAGAATGTCAAAGGGAACAGGGAGTAAAGGAGACAGAGAAGGATGATTGGAGGGAGAAGAAAAGCTTTCTGGCTTTCCTCCAGGAGCCACTATCATACTGAGCAGAAAGCAGGTAGTCCAGGGGGAGGAGGAACCCACATAACATACTGCAGGACATGTTGGTGCTTGCTGAGACAGCATGCCCCTATCGTAGTTCTACATGGGAGCAAGTGTTTTGGTGGCCAGGCTGAGAGAGAATGTAACCAGGAAGTGTTGAATACCTGTATAAAAGATGATTTCAAAGAACCTAATGCAAATGTAAGTGAAAACCCCTCACAAAATATAATAACATAAAGTTGTACTATATGGAATTATTTATTTTAGTCTGAAGGTTTACATACACTTGAACGTTTGCTGTTTTTGTTTAAAAACAAATGTGCGAATTACCATCACCAACCTTGCCCCCTTTTTTAAATTTGGTCTACGCAGCTGCTTACTTAAAATGGACCCTTCTCCGAGATCACACCATGGTCTACTAGTTGTTAGAGCCACTTTTTCTGTGTAGGTGTCCATAATAGAGTTGATTTGAGCTACCATCTCCCTGATATGTTCTATCACTACAGGTACATCTCAAACCGTAATCTTCAAAAAAGGCAAAAGTTTGGTGACAGAGTTGTAATTAAGTTTCATTTCCTTCTAGACACTGTGTATACTCGCTAATATAGCAGATGGCACTTCAGCAAAAGACCTTATCATGACGAATGATGATATTTTACAGAAGATCAAGTATTATGTAGTAAGTCCCAAGCATGTTTCTTCGCACCATTTTGCCAATTTTATCTGTAATGTCTTGAAGTTAATTGAACAACAGGTAAATACATAATTAACCTCTAACTGCTGTTTAAAGATTCTTTAGGACAGCGGTGCCCATAAGGTCGATCGCGATCTACCAGTCGATCTCGATGGCCTCTCCTCCCGCCCGTGGTGCTTCTCTGAATCCCTGCTGCTCTCCCCATCTGTATGCAGCGGGATCCGAGAAGTGAAAGAAGCGCTGCAGCCGGGAGGGGTGGTTGCGGAGCCGCTGTCACAGAGCTAAGACCGAGCGTTGAGGAGAGAGAGATGCTCGGCCTCTCTCTCCCCTCACCGCTCGACCTTAGTTCTGTAGGATCCATAGGAGAAGCTGAGCCTCCCTGTGCGTGGCCGAGCGGCAGAGGTACATTTCAGCGATATGTATCGATCCTCTGTGCAGGACAAACACTGGAGCGGTCAGCTGATCACTCCAGTGTTTGTAAATAACTGGGGACACATAGTACTATGGGTCCCCAGTTATGAATGAGCAGGATGTGATTTACATCACTTTCTGTTCATTCATGAGAGACTACAGATAGTAAAATATTTTCTGAATGAATGGGAATCCTCTGTGCTTTCCATTCATTTAGAACAGAGACTGCAGAAAAAGAGATTGAGGACTTTGTGTCCTCCCTTTTTTTTGTTTTCTATTTTAAAAGGGAAATATTAGGGGGCTGTTTAGACCCC